TTCATATAGCTACAATTATATTTAAAAAGACAATAATCAAAGCTTGTAATTTTGGTTTTAGAATATTTGAAACACCTAGTTTTAGCCGTGCATAGCATTTTGATGTATAACAATGTGATTTAGAGTTACTATTTAAACATGAAACCTAATTTTTAAATGTCTAAAAAATAAATGTGTTAATTGAATTTATGTTATACTAAATGTAATGCTGATATATTCAAAATATTATGATACTATTATTTAAACATTTAACAACAATTAAGAATGTTTATTAAACTAGCAAATTATAATAAACTAAGTAAAATACTATCCTATTAATTGTAAAGGTTGCATTTAAAATTTCAAAGTTGTTTTAATAATAAAAATGTGAGATTAATTTGTTCTTTGATGTTTTATTTTTCTATTTTATTTTATTTTTTTATTTAATTTATTAATAATATGTAAATAATAATTTATAATATATTTATGTAAGCAATATTATTTTTACTTGTTTTTTTTTTCAGATTACTGATAAATTATGTTGTGCAGTATTAAGACAAAATATTAATCAATTTGAATATGATTGTTTAGCTACTGATGTTGTCAAATTTTTGCTTCACAGTCAAAAATTAATATTTTTACCTATTAAAACTGATTCAATTTTATCAGAAAAGTTCAATTTTTTTAGTAATGATGATAAATTATTGAAGGTTAGTATAGTAGATTTAATTGTTTATAGTTTTACTTTATTTCTCTAGAAATGTGATTTAATTGTTGAAACTATGATACAATTTTTTGAAAAGGTTTCCATAACCAGCGCTTATAAATATGTGGGATATTGATTGATCCATATTTTCAATATTTGATTTTTTTTTTTTTTGTAATTTTTAGTAATTTTGGTAATTTTTAATACTCGCCACCAATGCTCATTAGTCTCTACGATAGAAAAAAATTGCATTCTTTATTTTTCAGCTTAAATTGAGGACATTTTAATCTGGAGAAAAATGCATAAGCTGCATTTTGTTCAAATCACATTTGTTGTAAATATTAACTTTTGTCTTATTAACTTTTCCAATATAYAAAACATAACATTATAAAATGTTTATACTCACACACCACTTAATAAAGCTATATTAATTACAGTAATAATAATAATAATAATATTTAAGTTTAAAAAAATATGATTTACATTGTATTTTAGGATAGTATGCACTATTGTTTAAGAATATCAGACAAAGAATTTGAAAAACAAAGAAGTTCTGAATCTAAAGAAGCCCTTATTGAATTGTTGGATCAAATTATAAGTAGTACGTCAATGTCTAATAAAGAAAAGAGCAAACGTATAAAATTAGTAAGTTATAATATTAGTTTTAAACATTTTGCATTATAGTGTACAGAAAATCATTTTGTTTTATTTTTTAATTATTGTACCAAACTAATCATTTCAGATAGACTATTAGATATTAATCAAACAATATTCATTGATTGTTGTTATTTTTTTTTTTAGTTTCAAAAAATGTACCCTGATGTATATGAAAAAAGATCTACACTGTTG